TGGAAGTATTCCAAATATTCACTTTTATGAGATTAAGCAGGAATTTGACCTCAGGGGAAGACTACCATATCCAAGCAGAGAAGCCAGCCCTAATTTTAGTGGGTTACATTTATACTGTATGGTAAGCAAAGTCAGGCAAACATGGTCCCTCCTGAGAACTATACCACCGATTCCCTAATGTGACCATGGTGAGTCAAAGAGCAAGCTCATGTTCCTGGATGTTGTGATAGCAAAATTAATGGAATATATTCTTTCTGCATCTAGTGGAGTTTATCCATTATCTTGTATATGGGGTAGGGTGCTTTTATATAACTTTTCTTCAAATGACAGATTAACATTTTTAAAAACAAAGCAGATGAGTCTTGACTTACTAGAACATGATCCATCTGGCATTAGCATGTAGCCATTCAGACAATAGCACTTATAGCTGCCATAGGTATTCATGCACCGGTGTTTACATGGCCTTGGTTTCAATCCACACTCATTGAGATCTAAAGGGGGAACCACGGTTGGCGGAGGAAACAGAAACAAAGCAGGCATTACATGTTAGCATGTTTAAATTTCCAGAAGATGGGAGCAATTAGGTTCTCTTTGCAGCCCAGTCCAAGCTGAAATCATGATTGGAGCCAAAATGGTTCCTGCAATGTATCCCCCTATATGCAGTCAAAATGACCATGTGTGCATAATGCCCTCCACATCACTGAGACTGTACACTCCCTTCCCAAGCCCATTCTCCTTCCCATCCAACAGCAAAATCCCCATGCCAGTTTAGTCACCTGAATGTTTACAGGTTACAGGTTTACTGTAAATTGTGGATAAGGTCTGTGCCAAGATGTGTTAAAGCTGGCTAGCAGGAGAGGCCAGGAGCTGAAAATAATGAGGACATGATTCAGTAGCCCTCTGAAACACACAGAGAAAACTGTCCAACATCTTTTTTTAGGGTGGAGGGTCGATCTTTTATCCTGAGTCCTTAGTACACTTGCATGGCTAAACTGCACTATTGCATTCCTATCAAAATGGCATTCAGAAAAGTTCGATAGGGTATCAAAAGAAAGCAGATCTTAAATGAAGCACATAATTCACACCTAGTAGATGGGGTAGGATGTTTTTGCCCCTTCTTTTTTAAAGTAAGAGCTGAATAAATCTGAACCTCACTCTATGTCTTGTATTGTTTGACTCTTTCTAGAGAGCACTGGATAGGATACCATCTGGTATATTTTGGTAGACAAGTATAACAGTACTGACTAGCTATTTACAGTGTGGTCTTAGAAGCATGGGTGTCTATTTCAAGTGTTTGTGCCGGGAAATGTATTAATACCTTGCTCTACTGAGATTCCTTCTGTTGTTGAATTTTAATTCAACACGTAATAAATATTTTTCCCAGCTTTACTGAATAGCTTCAGCAGCAGGTCATTATAAGCACCTACAGTGCTTGTTTAATACCTTTGACACTTTAAGATGCACTTTTTGAAAAATGAATCACAAATAGTTGGAGGATGCTTAGGTTCAGATTAGCATGCTTCACTGGTGTTCCTTTCATCAGACAAAGCAATATGCAAAGCTGAATAAAGAAACTCCAGCACAATTTCATAAAAAAAATAAAAATAAACATTTGATTCCCTCTATTCTCCTAATCTTAACATCTGCTGGAAAATGTTTAGGCGCTTTAAAATTACTTTTGAAAGAGCTCTGCTCTTGACTTGGGTGGAAAATATTGTGCATAGATAAGTGAAAAGGAAGTCATCAATCACTAGGGTTATCTTTTGGGACTGTTATGGGACATCTGTCATTTTTTCAGGCACGTCTCATCATTTGAACTTTTCTTCAAGGTTTTTCCTCAGACATCTTTCCTCACTCATCTTTCTCTCATTGGCTCTGCTCCGTTTTCCTTTGGTTGCACTAAAGTTTTTGTGTAGAATAACTATTTTCCCATTCCATAGCAGCAGAAGGAAAGCCACTGGAATTCTTACCCATGAGATCAGGATTTCTCAGAAAAATGCTGTCCATAAACAGGGCTTAAGCTGCATACAGAAAGTAGTTGTTTCCCAACATCCTAGCTGTATGGTGCAACACCAGAAAATGCAGGCATTATGGTACATGGGATTTTGTACAATTCCTGGGCAGTCCTTCTTTTAATCGTCATTCCTCTACTGACTTTATTAGGCCTTGGGAACTGGCACAGTCTTTGCATACTTGTCTGATGTCAGGTGTACTGAATCAATGCAGTCAACACCTGGAAACATCAGTGCACATGCAATCTCACCACAAAATGTCTTATTATAAAATTACTCCTGATATTATTGTCCTATTCTTCTCAATAACATAATTCAAAAATATGCCAACATATCTGCAAATTCAAGCAGTACAGTTGTTTTGATATTCCAAAGAGGGGAGGTGGTATGTTGCTGAGACAGAGGTGCTTCTCTAAATCCAGTCATATCCATGAAAAAGGTCAGCATTCAGATCAACCTCTTAGCCACACCGGTTCTTTTTACACGTTTTTTTTTTGGGGGGGGGGGCTAGTGATTTCGGAACAAGTTTAGGCTAGTGTTAGACGAGCATATTAGATAATCCCAGGACTATTAATGAATTGGCACATACATACTGCATTTTTGAAAGAGGACAGGAAATATATCTTCTAGTTCTTATTTCATGTGCTTTCTAAATATTTCACTTAGAACACTCTCTGAAGAAAAGATGGGGGGAAACCTCAGGAGTTTGTATTCTCTAAAATGGAAAGTTGCAGTTGCAAAGGCTTCCAGAATCTTTTCACATTGCTCACAATTCAGCCTCATTCTTTCTGGGTCTGTTTAAAAATGGTGGATGGGGTCTGAGACAGGTTTTAATAAGCCCCATTTCTGAAGCTTGCTGATATTTTGTTCCATTGTGCCAATTTGTCAATGACACTATTTGCTGAAATTATACAGGTGAGGGTATTGGGGGGTGGGGAGGGGGACAGGGGGAAGAGAACCAATAACAACACAAGAAAATAGTCACCATCATGTTGCATACTGAAAAGCATTGAGAGTAGGTTGAGTGTTGTGATACTTCAGAAAAGTAGAAGTAGTGCAGGCTGCTAAGCTAGGACACTGCATTGCAAGAAGAAAGATAAGTAGAGTGAACCCTTAACACAGCAAGAGTGGCTCAGGTGCTGCTGCATCTGCATACAAGTTGCTGGCTGGTGCACAAACACACCCACTAGAGTCTACCTTCAATCAGGAGGGACTCCCCTAATCCCACTCCGCAGATCATTTGTGCACTAATAAAAGGGGCAGAGAACAGTGTTGGGGTATAAGAATAAAGCTTTTTAAAAGGCTAGTGTGAGAGGAATATCTGATACTTTGTACCATCTCAACTTCCATTCAACAAAGAACTTCAATGCTAGTGAGAAGATCTTTCCCACAGGTTGACCGCTAGAGGTAATAATCACAGTTGATCAGCAACATAGGATCCAGGCCAGAAAGACTGACACATGAGAATTTCCCCTTAACAGAAGCACGTGCTTAGGTGACATCATCTGGCAACCCTCCCATTCAACAACTACCATTGCTGAATGAGCCCTGTCAATTATGCAGCATTATGTTAGCACTGGCATAGGCAATGTAGACCTATGAACATTTTCCTAGCACCTGCTGAGGTGCCCTACCCCTCTTTTTCCTTCTTCTAACAACTAACTTCCATACTGGCAGCCTGGGTTCTAGTCCCCACTCAGTCATGAATCTCACTGAATGCTTTTGGGCCAGTCATTTGCCCCAAGCCTAAGCTCATAGGAAAGTTGTTTGGATAACATTGTAAGGAGGAAGAGGATTTTACAAGCCATCTTAGATTCCTTGGAAGAGTGGAAATTGTGCCATGTAAATGTAATAAAAGATTAAAAGTAAGTAGGGGATATTTATTTCCCTGAAACTTACAGGAATGTTGTCCTTTCTGAATGGCATGTTCTCAGGCAGGATGTCTGAGAATGGAGACTGAACAGATTGGATCCACTGCTCCTATGGAACAGCCTTCAAGAGCTGTGGGAACAGTCTGGGTCAGATGAGGAAGAGGGGCTGGAATCTGCAGCTGAGCTGCCAGTTAAATTAATGGATTAAAAGATAACCAATGGAGTCAATCCAGGATATCTCTTGGTCCAATTCCAAGGGACTAAGAGATATCCTGGAGTCACCCAGCTTAAGTTATGGGAAAGCAAAGCAAGTCTGATAATGAGAAGGGCAGAGCAAGCACCACTGATCCCAGGGTCTGGCATCAGCTTAAGGGAGCGGACTAGCTGAGAAGTTTCAGACACTTCAATCCACTGGCTCTTAAGGAAGAAGATCCATCTTAAAGGCAGAGTGTTCCTAATCTGAGTTTGGAAAGTTGGAGGGATATCCAATAGGTCACATTTCTTTAATGATTAGCATTCTAACTTGACTGGTTTCATTTGTTACTGACTTGTGCAATACGTTTCATTTGTACTTTCAAGCCAGTCTGACTGGCTTGCATTCACATAACGAAACTTTGAGTTGGAAAGCCATTGAAAGCCTAGAGGAAGGGAGCGAGAGAGACCCACTTGTGGCCAAAGTAGTAAATAATGGTCTACATGGACCAATGGTTTGATTCAGTGTAAGGCAGCTTCTTATGTTCCACTTATGTTTCTAACTGGAAATGCCAGCATTTGAACCTCAGACAAAGGGCAAGCTGCTGCTCCCCTTCCAGATATAGATACCCATATTAGACATGTGAAAGTGTGAGCGGCATGGCTGTGTGCACAACACATTGCCAACCTCACAGTACATTTTACATACCAACACAGATACTCCTATCTATAGCAGAATGCTATCCCCACCCAGAATTGTTAAGTACAATTATAATCCCCACCCAGATATTATTAAGTACAATTATACTTCTCACTCCAAGTAAGTCAGTTCCTGAAACCTACCAAAGCAAGCAACATTATTTTCTTTTTTTAAAGGAGCTTAGAATAGGCAGCATGTATCTGAAAGCCAGAAGGAGACCACAGGAGGAAACAGAGAGAATTACGGAGGGTCAAGCCTTTCAGGATGAGAGGATCACAGCCTCAGGCAAGTGCCAGTGCTCAGTTGCTTTGCATGCCAGTCATACTGCATGGGGCAGCCAGAAGAGGTTCGCCATCCGTTCAGCAGCACGCTTGCAAGAGGTCTGACCGTGGGTTGAAAGCCGTGCAGGTGGAAGGGCCAAACCACCTGAAGCAAAGGATTTTCCTCACCCCTCCATGGGACGTTTGTTGCGTGATGATCCAGAGGGCTGAAAAAGGGTGGTTCACTGGGCCAGTCATATGAGGCTGCATACAGATGCTCAGCTTCACAGGTCGAGGAGAAGGCATAAGAAATGTCAAAAGGCTTAGACCAAGTAAAACGGCATGGCAGCTTCTTATGTCAAATACCATCAGTGAAGAGTCATCAATTGCATTTGTAGAGAAGGAGAGAGAGGGAACAGCTAGCTTGTAGGGAAATATATTTTTATTGAATATGCAGCATGGTCTTTTCAACCCAATCAAAAGAATCCTAGGGTATCCTTACACATATGAACCATGAGGGGTCGATATTCTGTAGATCTGATCTTCTGTCCCCTATTTTGGACAGGTGAATATGCCTTTGAAGAGACTGGAGCAGCTAGTTTCTCCAGTTTTAACAGGAATTTGGCTGTACAGAAAGCAGACTGGTTAAATCTTGTGTCCATCATGAATCCACTCTCCTTCCCACCTCTCTGTTGACTTATTTGGAATGCCACTAAATTAAATAAATATTAAAATTTAAATAATAAAAATAAATATAAATAGTGGAATTGCCACTAAAATAAACACATATAACTTTGTCATGGAAAAGACAGCTCTGACTATTGAAACAGAAAAAGCAGAGTAATTAAAAGAATATTTACATTAAGAACCCCCAAACCCTGTTCAAGGCACTAAGGGATGAGGTCAAAAATCTATCTGGGTCTTTGGAAATGTGCAAAAGTTCCAAAGAAGACACACATGGATTCTTTGGCAGAGAAATCAATGTAGAAAGGTAATGAAGAAAGTTTGAAAACTGGTCTTCCAGAGAATCAGCTACAGAAGTTATATTATGTTAAGGCCCCCAAGGTGGCTCACAAAGATATAAAAGAAAACATTCAAGCAATACAAAAAATAACATCAAAATGATTATTTAAAACTAAAAACCTAAAGCCCAAATAAATTCTTCATGTGTGGATGCAAGTTTTTTCAACAGCTATATGAACGACTTTTCAGATAGAAAAAAAAAAAAAAAAAAAAGGATGCATCTGTTTCATGCAATGCTTTCTGGGCATAAAAGCCCCAGCAGAGTCTTTGGCTTTCTTGTCGCCCCATTCATATATTGGAACTGCCTCTCCTAATCATTTCCTTTTCTACATGGAAAGATGTCCTGACAGCATTACAATAAATGCATAATGATTGCAGGGTTGCAGAGACATGGAGTTCTGAATCAGTGCAATTTTTTGTTTGTGACATTTTCGCAAGGCTGAGAAACCCATAGCCTTTCAGATATTGCTGTGATTCCATGAACCTTGACCATTCCTGAAGCTGGTTGGACCACAGGTAATGGTTGGATGTCATTCCTGATGATTAGGACCCTGAGGATATGGGATGGGCTGGGAGGTGGTTTAGGCCTTGTCAGTGAGACTGTTCAAGGAAAGATGGGGCAATGACATATTGGGGATTACATGAGCAGAGCCACTGGAGCCAGGGTCACACTAGATGGCCCAGGAGGTCCCTTCCGACTCACTGTTTCTATGTTTCTAAGTTTCTAAATGGGAGTCCAGAAACATCTGGAGGTACCACAGGGGCAACTGATTGTTGGACATTTGTCTGGACTTCTGTATTTCTGTACTATTTTTTCCCAAAACAGGCATTACACTACCGATTTTTCATGGACCTATTTTTTTTCAATCTGAAGTTCTGATAACAGATAAGGTATAACAAAAATTCTCTTTCCTGTGTTTCCCTCATACCACAAATGTATGGTAGGAGTACATACTTGCAGGAGAGAATCCATAGGTACAAGGAGGTGTTTTTTGCTTGCATGTGGATTCTTTCCTCCTAATATCCTTTCCCTTTCCCCCAGTTCTAAATCACTGTCTTCAGCCAGGATCCAAAAGGCAGCAATCCAATCTTCGTAGTCCAATCTTATGCATGTATATACAGAAGGAAGTCTACCTCAGAAGGAAGGAAGTTTACATGCATTCATGGCCACCAGAATGGGTGGCTTTAAAAATGGGAGAGAAAAATTAATGGAAGGTAAGGCTATTAATAGCTGTTAGTCATGATGGCTATGCATTACTTCAGAACTGGAGTCACTATGCCCTCTATGCTGGGGAACATAAGTGGGGGTACATGATTGCACTCATGCACTACTTCTGGGCTTCCCATGGGTAGCTGGTTGGCTACTGTGAGAAATGAATACTGGCCTTTGGACTGATATAGCCAGTATGTCTTCTCTCTTAAAGCCCACTGAGTTCAATCATCTTATTCCCAGGTAAATTCCCATTGGATTCCAACCTTAATTCCATCCTTCTGTGCACATGTTATCATGTACTAAAAAGAACTCACAGATGAGTGAAGTAATTTTAATGTTGATAGCTCAGCTGAGATAATTTGGAGAAAATTGGAGAATTTAGAAGAAAGGTTTGGCCTTTAGAGCATTATCAATTAATTTCCTTGGTGACAAAAATATCAGAGCTTTGTTGCAAGATTCCTTTATTGGGTCCACAGGAAGTGAAAGAAAATGGAGAGGTTAAACTTTCTGCCTTACAAAATGGAGTTTCCTTACAAGGATGTTTGAGAGAGAAAGGGAGTGATGGGTTATAGACAAACATACACTCACACTTCTCTATTATACACAACCCAGTAGCCTTCTGGATTATAGCACCATGGAAAAGCCATTTCCACAGCTGGACAATTCCATCTGAGCTCCTTGCCAGCAACAGAACATTTATTTAATGAAGGTGTAATGATCAGGCAGGATCTTTCCAGGCCAGGAAAAGGCATTCATACTCTGAGACAGGACTCACCTGCAAGGGAACAACCAGCAGAAGCTGAAGGCAGCAATACTGATCAAACTAGCTTGAGTTTTTGGATGCAAACTGGTTTGTAAATGCAGTATAGCAAAATAAAAAAGAAACCCCACTCTACAGTCAGGACTAGAAGAGAGACAACAGTTTCATCTGGTCAAGTAGGATGTTAGTCCCTGTTAACAAGGTAGCTTGGAAAGAAGTTTGGAATGAAAGCCATTTCATCTTATGGATCAAGAGAGCTATTCTCTGCTCAGGCTCAAACTATATATAAACCATTCTGAGAACTTTGATTGCTGTGAATGGTTTACAAAAAGCAGTAAGCAAGCAAGCAAGCAAATAAATAAATAAATGGGTTTGTTTAAATGCAGGTTTCCTCCCATCCTATACAAAACAGAATGAATGATGCACTCATTTTTAAGGCAATTGTGATATGCAGGTGAGTAATGCTTAGTCTACCTGCAGTTCATCTCAAAATGCCCCTCGTCCTGCATCCCAGCAAGCACTGGGAACAGCGGGAAGCAAAATACAGCAAGGACAGAGAGAGGGCAGAGGGAGGTGGCGGAAGAAGCGCTTTTTGGCACCTTCTGCCAGCATGCTTTCTTGCTCTAAAAGACTGAGCTCCTTCCACACAGGATCATTTATATCTGATAAATGAATGGTGATCTTGGGTTCAAACTATGACCTCCATGCAAAGATTGAGCCAAGTTATATGGCCAGTTATGAATACCCAAACCGGTTTCTATGCTTCTCTAATGCAGCAATCCCATAACATTGGAATGAAGTTTCTATGTCTTAAAACACATGGCAACAGATTCCCAGGAGCCAAAATTGGCCAGGGCACATATTTACCACATGTCGTGCTGCCCTTTTTGCGGACATGGGAACGCTCTTTAAACACTTTTCTAAAAGAAGAGCCAATCAACCTGCAGTGGTATCTTTTGACTCTTGTCCATGCTGTAATATTAAGTAGCCCTAATCCCTTTTGAAATACATACCAGTTGCATTCAGTCAAAGAGCCTGAAAGGCCAAACCAGACATGGAATCAGAGGAGCCTTTGCATCTAACACACAGGTCTTTTAAACAATGAAATGCAATCAGCTGCTGGCAGCGTTTCTGCGATAATTAACAGAATCACCAAGTCACCCAGGGAGAACGTTGGTTTTTTCCTCTTGCTGCATTCCTGCAAAGCTGCCATTTGCACGGGGAAGAAATCCCTCATTGCATAGCATCTATTGCTACAGTATTTGTAATTTAAAACACCTGTATGTTAATTTCAGCAAAGCACTTAGGCAGGGTAGTCACATTTCCTGCTTTACAAAGAACAGACATTTATTGGAAGGCATCTTTTAGTCAGATTTCCCTGATCTAGTGCCATCTTGATGACTAGGGATAGTGGGAATAACAGTCCAATACACCTGAAAGGTGCCAGGTTGAGGAAGGATCCTTTAGTGGAAGGGTTGTCTGGTCCAAGTCCACTTAAGAATGAAGACATGCAAGGAAGAAATGCAAGAGCAGCCCTGAAGTTGCCCATCAGCAGCACCTGGGCAGTACCTTGTGCAAGGTACACAGGTCACCTGTTCACAGCTCTCACTACTGTGGTGAATTTGAATTTCTACCACATTTCTTTGGCATGCAGTCATGATTATAACCTAAATTTGTACCTGTGCACTGGCATATTAAAATATTATGGAAACCTGCATTCGCTTTTGTGGACTGCAAACTTATTTTGGGGGATGTATAAGGAATTGTCCCTCTAGTTTGGTCCTACAGCTACAGCCCAGTAGAGAAATAGGACATTTCTGATCTTGATGAGAGCAATTCATTGGTAACTTCAGCATCAAAATGAATGGGAACTGTACAACTAAGGTGAAAATTGTCAACAGGTTATAGTATAAGATGTTGTATTATTAGTACTCTAAATGGAGAGGCCTAGGACCTAGGAAGGAAACTGGAAGTTTGGGGAAATAAATCATGGAGAAGGAGTCCTCCCTTAATTAAATCTTGTTAGGAACAAACATCTATGCACATGCCTAGAGGTAAAGAAAATCTTATAGTCTAATCTGAAGCATCATACTAACAAAAGAATTACAAGAAAGAAAGCATATAGCTGATGTTTTTAATTGGTGCATGCCTGTAGTGCTTTTGTAGTATACAGTTTTGAAAATAACATTATATAATAAAAGTAAGACAGCTACAGATGTCAACATCACTTGTAGAGAAAGGGAAAAGAAGGGGAAGAAAATGACGCCAGGAAGAGGGGACCTTTGATCCTACAAGAACCTGTCAGGAAAGGATTAGTATACCATAAGTTAGGGATTTTAAGCTTTTAGAAATCATGCAAGGATTAACAACTTTCAGGGAATACAGTTCTGTATAGCACTACCATCCTCAACTGGCAGATTTTCTCTAACCTTCATTTGCTTTTCCATAATAGGCTAAATAAATCTTAATCAAAATTAGCTGAAGATACTGATTGAACATGTTCACACGTCATGCTAAACCACCCCGACAAGAAGCCATGGTGGTTGGCCATCATCAAAACAACCCATGGCATGCCCAACAGTCAGAATGGGCTCACCCTGATACTTCCTCCCCTTGGTCTTCCCCGGGAGACATGATGGGGAGGGGTAAGTCAGTGTCAGATGCGGTTTTGGGTCTGGCTGGCACTGGCAGTTGGCCAGGAGTTGCTTGGCAAGGGGTTTTTGCCACTCTTGTGAAGAAGCTCAGCAGTCAATTTCCTATATTCACAATGGTGTCTGTTGCCCAGGTTCTGGTGACAGGAGTACAACCATCCCTACAACAACCCTTGGACTGTTGGCAGGTCATCAAGAAGCCAGCAAGGAAAAGCAGACCTGGTTCAAAAGACAGAGCAATTTATCATGGGCAGCAACCCACAATGGATTGTCATGCTGTACATACCCAGCCTCCGTGACTTTCTTAAATACCTGGGAGTGCTCAGCTATATAAATTAATACTTTCAGATAAGTTAGTGGAAATAGTGCAATACCTGTAAAACAGTGATCCATCTAAAGCAAGAGATTCTTCACCTTCATGTAGTTGCTAGCACAGACTCAAGAGGGAAGATTTTTTTAAAGAATTAGAGGGCTGTATTCAATCAATGGCATCCAATGCCAATCTCACTTAAGATCCATTCATTTCAATGGTTCTCCTTCATATAGGAGTAATGCTGCATGTAGACTTTAGTTTGTTTTTCATCAGGGTAGTGATATGTCCTACTTTACAGAGGGCAGTGATCTGTTTGAAGGCATTTTCTATCTGAAGGTGTCACCAGTCCAAGTTTGGTTTACAGGCAAAAAGCCATTAGAAGGGAGAGCAAGATGCTTGAAATACTTTCCCCATCAATACTTTGGAGCTAGTTAGGAGAATCATTGGTTGCCTTCTTCATTAGGGTGAGAGAGATAGTATATCTATTTAAAGTATATATGTGTGTGTGTGTGTGTGTGTGTGTATTGCACTTTGCCTTGTGATTGGACCTAAATGATATTAACAGTTGGACTCCCACTTGACTCTGCTTCTGGACTATGCATTGTAGCTCACTGCTTATGGTCAGAATTGTGCTTGTGTCTTCGTCACTCCTGCCTTCACCTGTTCCATAATGGCGTGAAACCTTTACACTTGATTATTTGCCATTCCTGCTGTCTTGCTTTTGGATTGCCTTATAATTTGCTCTAATGGTGAGCCTGACTTTGGACATGAACATATGCATCAGTAAATATGAATTAAATACAAATCTGTATCCTCTTCTGGACTCTATTTTGGTGAATTGCAAGTTCCACCCTAGTTTTCATAAAGCAAGATACTTATTACCTACGTCAAAACCAGAACTTTGAGTCAAAGGTTTGCTTTTTTATGTATCTCTGAAAGTGAACATTGACTTGCCTTAAAAGCAGAGTCAGTTAATTGCTAAATATTTTAGAGCAAGGTTTATGTTGGGATTCACACAAAGCAACTTCTAATCATGCCAATCTGAGAAAGAAATTTCCTGCTCATTCCACTGTGTGAAAAGTACCATGGCTTCATAGAAGGTTTCCACTAGTACAGCTCCACCTCCTTACCTTTTGAAGCTGGTTAAGAAATGGCCATAGCTTCTGCCCTAGTCACCTGTTCTTCACCTGTGAGACTAAACACAGGAGGAGAGCAAGCACCCCCCTCTGCTTTCACTTTGTTGCCCTCCCTTTGTGGAATGTCCAAAGAAGAGAATGTCCTGTTGCTGAAAGGTGACAACTGAAACCATATTGGTCAGCCATGACTCTGCAAACATCAGTCTGTGATGTCACCTGGGAAACTAGCAATATCGTACTTGCTGCTCCTGTTCTCTTTTCTGAGGAACAAAACTCTCTGATGGGAATGTAGCTCCTGCTCCTCAATTTCTGCATTAATGAACCAGTTAAAGTTTCAGATTTACGTAAAACGGTGCTTTGAAGAAACTTGCTTTTTTGTTGTGTTCTTGCGTTGTTTTCTTACCTTGGTTGCATGCTTTTCCAGCATATCCTGGGTGACACTTGCATTTGTTTGGTCCGACACATTCGCCATGCTTACATCCAGGCTGACATACAGCTGTGAACACACAACGGCAAGAAAATGACTTTTCCTATCTATCTGGAATGCAGACAGCATTGAATTCTAACAATGCATTTTAACTTGAGGTGACTTTCTGCTGTGTGGAATTGAATTAAAATGCACACAAATGCAGAAAAAAACTAACCTTTCTTTTTTCTTGAAATCCCAACAAAAATTAAAAATGCATCCGTACATATCAATGAATACTTATTAAATGCATATATGTAAAAATACAGCTTTCCCATTTTAACAGGATATTTGCAATGCATATAAAGTGCAGATTTTAATTTTAATATGTGGATTGAGATAATGCATTGTACAACTACAATTTCTGACAGTGTTTACTTTAAGTTACTAATGAACAGCTTAGTAGTAAAATAACTTTAACAGTGCTATCCTTGATGTGTCCACTCAAAAGCTGTACTGAGTTGGATGGGGCTTATACTCAGATACATGTGGATAGGACTGCCAATTAAGAAGCCATACACCTCTACAGTGTGAAGGTGACAGTCACTTTTTAAAGCGGAGAAAGGGTTGTCTGTCTGTAGAGAGAGCGTACAAATGTATGTACATTTCAACACTTAGAAATCATCATATTATTAGGTTATTTTATTCTTTAGTTGTGCGTAACTCACCCCAGTTCATGTTCCTCACAGATCAATAAAGGCAAACAGCGTGGACATTTTTGTTATGGTTATATGCAACAACAAATAAAAGGTTGTGTTTTTAACCAAATGTTGCCTTCACGTTTGAGGCCAACCCTCCCAATGCCCGCCTGATGTTTTGGACTACAGCTTCCATCATACTTGACCACTGCCGCAACAGATGGGAAGGGAAGTCCAAAACATCTGAAGACTACTGCATTAGAATTGGAGATAAAATGGCAGTTCTGTTGTTAGTACGAATCCATATTTTCTAGAATTCCCACAGTCAAGATCCATCTATGTTTACTCAGAAGTAAGCACCTTTTAGCAAAAGTCCCCTGCAGCTTTAATCAAGAGTTTCCTCCTTGCAGTTTCTGCCTGTTATTCGGAATCATGTGGCATTAGTGGGGAATTGTTCAGTAATTTAGCTCCTGCTCCCTATGGGCTTTCTAATTATATTTTGCAACAAAAAATAATAGTGGTGGGGAATGAAGAAACCAATGATAAAAGCTGTCCAAGGAAAGGAACTGAATAACCACGCAATCCTATGCTCAAATGTCATTGATGCTTACTTCTAGGAAAATGGGCATTATGATTAGAGCCCTAGCAGCAATCCATAAATGATTCTACAGCTGTACCAAATAGAAAGAAAGGTGGGGGAAGTATCAAGGCTGCAAGGGGGAAGCTTTTAATTAAATGCAAAAACAGCTTAAATGCCTTAATAGTATTTTGTATGTCCACAAGACAGGCTGGCACTGAAATTGCATTCTATTGCCAAAAATAGCTCCACAGCACTGGGCTCACAATGACATTGTCTGAATTCTCCATGAAAAGTTTGCTCACATTTATAAAATGTGAGTGCATGAAGAAGCACAATCCCAAAAGGCCAGTGTGACAACAGCCTAAGGCAATTATTAAGTTGCATGAGGTTGTAATATTCAGAAAAATGGACGCTCTTTCTGATCAGGGGAGGGGGGATATAACAATCCTTATTGGGCAAACTCTGCATTTACACTTTCTTACTAAATGTGTATTTTTAAAATCACCTTATAAAACATCTGCTTTATTCAAGAAACCTTTTTATTATGCAGCAATTTTAATGGTTAGATGTGCATGTTTTTAATGTGCTTTCACAGACCTTTATTATGGGCAGTTGGCCTTTAATCTTTAACCAACTCAATATGCCAAACCTTCCTGTTTCGTATTGGAATGACAGTGCCAAATGCTGCGCACATGCCTCCATATGCAACAGGGAGATCTAGTGGAGAACTAATCTTATGGCTATTTTAAATAAAGCAGGCATTGAGTTTCCAAATAGATTCTCAATTACCTACTGCCTTATGGCATTGGATTAGAACTGTATATGAACATGTCAGTGCAAACAACACATTGCTGTAATTTTTGAAATGTGCTGTAACTGTGCATGCCCAATTGGCCTAGAGCTTAAGCTACATGCGTTTTGCGTAGCAGTAAATCTATATTGCTCATCAAGATAATATATGGCAAACATTCCTTAGTAGAGTACATAATACTGGAAAACCTCCAGAAACTTCAGTGGAATTACTCGTACATCAAAGTGAGAGGGGCACTGTTTCCCAAATGCTAGGCACACCAATATGCTGTCTGAAGGCAGCTTGAAGAAATCAATCCGCTGCATTGGATGCATCACACAATTTTATTTTATTTTGCAGGGGATGCTCTGAGAGCTAGGAAGTCCTGGGCAACTTTGATCTGTATTCTCTGCAATTATTTGGGCGATGGCATCTCCAGGCACAGCACCCTAGGAGTACAACTGATAGGTGTGGGTGAATCTCAGAAGAGTCAGTGTGGTGTAGTGCTCTGGGTAGCAGAGCAGGATGTGGGAGATTCATGTTCCTCATTTGGACAGATTTTAGAGGGCACTCATTCATAGGGTCTCCATAAAGCACAGACAACTTGAGAGCACAGAACAGCAGGAAACAACCTGGTTGTAATGCTCACTGTGCCTCATGCACCTCACAGGGTTCATGCCAGGATTAAATGGTGCAGAGAAAGACTATGTAAGCAACCTTGATTTCCTTGCAAGAGGTAAAAGGTAAGATCCACATGGAATAAAATAAAAATAAAGACTCCGCATTGCTCAGAAAGCGGAATGGTGTCCTGGAGCACAGAATGACTGGGCAGAGGAGATGGCCAAAGCTGCAAGAGTGCTAACTGGGCTACCACGCCCTTGCAGAGAGGATGCCTGACATTTAAAGATAAAATGTGCATTTTTGCAGCATCTGTTGCAACACAGGGAGGGGGACAGGCATCCTGGCTCCCACTCCTCACACATTCAGAACAGAGTCTCTGTGTGGGCACCTGTACGTGTCCAATGGTTTCTTCATGCTTATATAGTTGTACACGTGGCAGCTATATCCATTCTGCTCTTCAAGTGAATGTGTGGAGGTTAGAAGCACTGACAGCACACGTGATTCTGCTCCCCTTTCCAGAAGTTCAAAGAACAATGAAAATGACTCGTAGAAGTTGTAAAAGGGCCCAGATGCGAAATGTTCTAGCAACTGTGCTCTGAGGGCACATGACATGACAAGCTTTCTCAGCCAGGTCGAGACTTAGGAGGTGGCTGCCTGGGTATCCTTGCACTGTGATCCTAAGCACATTTCTCAGAAGTAATTGCTCATGTGCTCAGTTGAATTTACTCCCTGGTAAGTGTATTTAGACTGCAGTGATATGTTAACAACTGTGGCTATTTCTCCTTTTTGTCTCCATCAGGTAAGGCTGTGGATGTGCTAAAGCAGTGCCTGGCTGGGATAACACCCTGGATGAGGGCCAGCAACCCATCCAGATAAGAATGAGATGTGCTGACAGGTGGTTCCTCTGACTGGACGGGGGTGTTCAGCCTGTTCTGGGTAAGGCTGCACTCTCCCTGAAGGAGCAGGTTCATAGCTTGGGAGTCTTCCTTGACCTCTCTTTACTATTTTAGGCCCGGTGGACTCAGTGGCAACCGTGTGCCTTCCATCCGGATGGGGGGAGCCAGGTCACATTCGCTGCCTATATGTTCCCAAACACATGATTCCAGATTCAAGGTGCTGGTTTTAACCTGTAAAGTCCCATGTGACTCAAGATGGCAAAACCTCTCCCAATTGCAATCTATGAGGCCGCGTCATTCAACACCTGAGGGCTTCCTTGAACACAACCAACAAGGCCACCTCCATCGGCATCAAAGAGGAGGGCCCCCAAATTCTGGAGGCACCACAAGTCCTAATCTACACACTTAGGCACTCTGGGCATCAACAGTACTATCCACAGACTTTTATACTGAGACGTTTAACTGCTCTAAACAGCATGGGGAGGCAATATTGTCAGCCGTTTTTAGCAGGCTGAGCTGCACAAACCCATCCTGGTTCTTTACATTGGGTTTTAATTTCTTGTATGATGTTTATTCTATCATTTATCTTTTGTACTGTATTTCACTGCATTTTGTCATTGTGTTGTACATCACCCAGGGAGCTTCTGTTGGGTGCTCTAGAAGCAAAAGTGTGCTGCCTTGGGTTAGGAACAGAGGACATTGCCTTATAACACTTGGTTCATCTTGCTCCGTGTTGCCCATCAGTGGTTTCTCCGGGGTTTCGGCAGAGGTTTTCCCAGCCCAGAAACACAACAAGGAGGAAAGTCCTGGCTAGCAGGGCCTCTTCCTCAACCACACTGTCTGGTTGGTATCCACTCCCAGTCTGATCAGCTTTTGTAAATGGACTGGGGAGAGCATCTTGAGGTTAGTCACAGATAGCAGAAAGGCTGGGCCAACACTGAGAAAGCCCCATCAAACTTGGGGGAGGCGGGAGTTACTTCTGAGTAAACTTGGTGCAGTGCAATCCTATACATGTTTACTCAAAAGTAAGTTGCACTGTGTTCCCATGGAAGTGTGTATAGGATTGCACTGCACATCCAGCACTGCACACACTGATTTCAAGTGGCAGTTAAATAATCCCTTTAAATACAGCAACTTGTCAACATACTATTAAAACCATTATTAACCATTCTAAATGTAGAAAACAAATGGTTCAGAGCTTCAGAGATAATAAAAATCATTTGAATGGTAAGTCTGCATCAATATTTATGGATTTGATCGAAAATAATGTCATGCTTGATCTACATTAGTCATTCAATCCATAGCGAGAAGGAAATGCCTCCATAAAGTGCTTCTGACACCCTAGAATAATACATAAAATAATTACATTCATATTTCCTCTGAGTTTTTCTATATTGTTCTTATGCCCCAGATATGATTGTAGAGGTCATACCTCCAAAACACTGTTGTGCCAAAATTATTTCAAGAAATATGTTCAGCTAACCTTTGGGTTGGCACCTTATCCT